CAGCATCCTAATTAATGTTTTATTTTCAACTTAGGCCTACATTTTTTGTTGTTTGGTCACTATAGACCAACGCCACTTTTGCGTCATCGAAGGGTAACGCCCCCTTTTGGGGGAAAACACCTCTATACTGTCTATGGGAAAACAAACGGATTCCCATGAGAACAGAACTCGGACTAGATCTGCAAAGTTTCTTGATAGCAAAAATGGCACAAACTTAAAGAAGCTAACGTTACTGAATACGGGGTTACAGAGGTGTCCCTTTGAAATGGTCGAAAACTGGATTAATGACCCCACACAGCGGCCAAATATGGACTATTCAGACATACCTGGAATCGCCAAGTAAGCACGTAGCCTTTTTTTCATTAACACTCACAGTATGACAAACTAGACGATGAATGGATCATATTTAACTTGATTTAAGCTATTAACATAGTCTAATAAGGTAACGTTAGCTGCTAACAGCTAGTCTTTCTAATAGCTAGTCGACAACAAAACTGTCAATAGCTTAAATCAAGTTAAATGATCCAAGTGACATGGCCTCATCGTCTAGTAGTTTGTCATAGGCTACTGTGAGTGTGTAAATGATAAATAAATAAATAAATAAAAAAGGCTACTTACTTGGTGATTCCACGAGATAGTGGTATCGTTAGATGTCTGAATAGTCCATATTTGGCCGCTGTGTGGGGTCATTAATCCAGTTTTCGACCATTTCAAAGGGACACCTCTGTAACCCCGTATTCAGTAACGTTAGCTTCTTTAAGTTTGTGCCATTTTTGCCATCAAGAAACTTTGCAGATCTAGTGCAAGTTCTGTTCTCATGGGAATCCGTTTGTTTTCCCATAGACAGTATAGAGGTGTTTTCCCCCAAAAGGGGGCGTTACCCTTCGATGACGCAAAAGTGGCGTTGGTCTATTGAAAATGAAGGATTAGTTGTGGAGTGATGAGAACCAAAAATGGATTAATAAATTAAAAGTTCAAGCCCTAAGATTGCGACTTGTTGCAACTGTGAGATATAAAGTTGCAATTATCTTTTAATTTTGGCTTTACTCTGAGGCGGAAACAGTGATATGGGTGGCAAAATAAATTCACACTGCTTTCATTTTTTTTGTGTGTGTGTCTAGAATCCTTGTGTATTGTTTAAAATAAGTTAAAGGCTTTTTAAATTTTATTATATTGTTTTCTGGGGTCAACTAATGACGTTCGCTTGGTTTTTGCATTCAAAAACATCAACATGAATAAGTAATAGGCTATTTTGTACCCAAGTTTTAAGCCTACCTGAAAAACGCTCGGTTTTTATGGCCGTCTCGCACTGACGACCTGGAAGTAAACGCCCACTGCTGTGAGTGGATAACAGTTTTGCATATTATAATGAGTTTCAACTCACCTGTCAATGCACGTGGGTGAAATTGTTTTGAAAACATCCAATGTTAACGGGAATGATTCGACCCAGAGTCTGTTTGTTGCACAATTCCTATCAGATCCAATATAGATGGCACAGTACTGTTCTTTACTCTTAATCGATCTGCAAATCCAGTCTTGTTTACAAAACAATCCTCAGTGAAATGAAGCGAACAGACGGATGATGTTTTACCCTCATCAGCTGGAGTGGAACATCATTAAATAAAGTTTATCTATGCAGTCCTATTGGAATCCAGAGGAAGCATATGCTATGTTATTTAGCTATGCGTGTAATGCGTGAATCGGTGGGCGGGGCTAAACTGGCCGTGTTGAAGTAGGCGTTCATCTTCTTCTGCGGGGGTGGTGTTTTATCCTCTTTGACGTCATAGTTCCCCACTTTAAAAAATGAGTCTGGTGTCAATAAAAGCTTTTATTGGACTATTTTTATTGGACTTCTTATAATATGATGACATCTTAGATGTCAAAAGCTCAAAGAAATTTTGATTTCTCAGTTCATCACCCCCTTTAACAGTTCATTCACAGAGGACAACTTCACCTGAAATTTACTGTTCATTTTTGCAGATTATTCATTCCTTATAATTTCCATGATTTTCTACTGAGGAAGTTGAGAAACATCCATCAAAACTGACAACTGTGCTTATAACAGTGGTGACATACAGCAACAATTCTTTCCTTTCTCTCTGCAGCACAGAAAGATAATAGAAAATCTGCAGTTCTGTGTGGCCTAGTATCAATTCGGACTATTCCCTGCTCGCTATTCACGCTCCAAAGTGTGCATTATTTCCAGCAGCGCCCAGCACACTTCACTGATTTCACACCGGCATCTGAAGTTAAAAACCGCATCTCAAGATAGAATATATGCTCTGAGCGGTTCACCTTCCTTGAGCGCGCAGGGTTTCACGCCGTACGCAAATCGCGGGTGTTTGACTGGTGTGAAGGGTGAAGAAAAAATAGAAATGTACACAGCTCATCTGCGTTGTCATGGGAATCTCAAAAGCAGAGAGAGCGAGCGAGAAAACCCTGTTAATCTTCGAGCCGAAATCTCCTCAACCGACCGCATTAAATGGAACTCCATTATGGCTGAATAAAAGCTTTCAGCCTTGGCGTCTCAGTGGAGATCTATTTGGCTAGTCTGTTTTTGCTTATTTGATTCCGTTTTATTCCATGCTTTAAGGATGAAAACCCTATTTACTGGATCTTTTTTGAAATCTGTTTGTTAGGCTCTGAGTCATCAAGCTTGTTATGTGAAACTCCTGTGAACATCGTCATCTTTGCGTACGACATTGTGTGTTCTGATTGAGAATTGAGAACTCAAGAGACTGTTCACAAGTATGATTAAAAGCAGAAGTTTATTTATTTATTTTTTTCTTCTGAGCTTCATATTCAGATTTGATGATGAATGTGCAAAACTACAAAATTATATTAAACAAATCAGCGGGTTGTCTAAATGACAAGTCTACCAATGAATTTTAAAGAGACAGTTCAACCAAAAATCTCAATTCTGTCCCCAGTTAATCAGTATTCTGAACCTCCTCCTATGAAGTACAATATATATATATATATATATATATATATATATATATATATTTATGAAGAGTTCAGATGCAAAAGCCTCTAAATGCCATTTGAAATTTTTTTCTTTAATGATGATTTTTATCAAACTTGTATATTTAAGTTCAGTAATTTCACTTAAATGGCAATGATAATTACCTATTAATTGTTATTTAAGTGAAATTACTGAACTTAAATATACAAGTTTCATAAAAATCATCATTAAAGAAGAAAATTTCAAATGGCATTTAGAGGCTTTTGCATCTGAACTCTTCATATATATATATATATATATATATATACACTCACCGGCCACTTTATTAGGTACCCCATGCTAGTAACGGGTTGGACCCCCTTTTGCCTTCAGAACTGCCTCAATTCTTTGTGGCATAGATTCAACAAGGTGCTGGAAGCATTCCTCAGGGAGTTTGGTCCATATTGACATGATGGCATCACACAGTTGCCGCAGATTTGTCGGCTGCACATCCATGATGCGAATCTCCCGTTCCACCACATCCCAAAGATGCTCTATTGGATTGAGATCTGGTGACTGTGGAGGCCATTTGAGTACAGCGAACTCATTGTCATGTTCAAGAAACCAGTCTGAGATGATTCCAGCTTTATGACATGGTGCATTATCCTGCTGAAAGTAGCCATCAGAAGTTGGGTACATTGTGGTCATAAAGGGATGGACATGGTCAGCAACAATACTCAGGTAGGCTGTGGCGTTGCAACGATGCTCAATTGGTACCAAGGGGCCCAAAGAGTGCCAAGAAAATATTCCCCACACCATGACACCACCACCACCAGCCTGAACCATTGATACAAGGCAGGATGGATCCATGCTTTCATGTTGTAGACGCCAAATTCTGACCCTACCATCCGAATGTCGCAGCAGAAATCGAGACTCATCAGACCAGGCAACGTTTTTCCAATCTTCTATTGTCCAATTTCGATGAGCTTGTGCAAATTGTAGCCTCAGTTTCCTGTTCTTAGCTGAAAGGAGTGGCACCCGGTGTGGTCTTCTGCTGCTGTAGCCCATCTGCCTCAAAGTTCGACGTACTGTGCGTTCAGAGATGCTCTTCTGCCCACCTTGGTTGTAACGGGTGGTTATTTGAGTCACTGTTGCCCTTCTATCAGCTCGAACCAGTCTGGCCATTCTCCTCTGACCTCTGGCATCAACAAGGCATTTCCGCCCACAGAACTGCCGCTCACTGGATGTTTTTTCTTTTTCGGACCATTCTCTGTAAACCCTAGAGATGGTTGTGCGTGAAAATCCCAGTAGATTAGCAGTTTCTGAAATACTCAGACCAGCCCTTCTGGCACCAACAATCATGCCACGTTCAAAGTCACTCAAATCACCTTTCTTCCCCATACTGATGCTCGGTTTGAACTGCAGGAGATTGTCTTGACCATGTCTACATGCCTAAATGCACTGAGTTGCCGCCATGTGATTGGCTGCTTAGAAATTAAGTGTTAACGAGCAGTTGGACAGGTGTACCTAATAAAGTGGCCGGTGAGTGTATATATATAGTATTATTATTATTATTATTATTATTATTATTTTAAGTTCAAAATATCCAGGGGGAATTTTCCCTTTAAATTCTTGAACAACCTTTTCAGATGCATTTCTTTGGTGGATGCACACAGTACATACTTTAACATATGTTCAAGCATTCAAAAATAGCTATATGAGTGCTGTGCAACACAATGGAAGAAAATTCAGGGGTTGCAGGAAATTGCTTTTTTCTTATAAAACTTTTGGCGGGACACTTGAGAGAGCTTAAATACTATACAGTAAGAGTCATTATTCTTAATGACGTTTGGGGGTGTAAAAACAACATGCTTCAGCTTTAAATTTCAGTGTTTGTGAACCACACAGTCTTGTGTCTCTTTTACTTTAAAGGAGTTGCTTAATTGACTACTTCTATTTACCTTTGAGACTGAATGCAGTCTCTTTAGCATTCATCTCCTAATGCCAGTATAGACTGACGGAGTCAAGTTAATACCACTCAAGAAGGTTTGCTGACCTGTGTGGGCCCCAGAGAGAGAACTCAGGACACGGGCATGCTGGGTAGGCCCATCGTACACCTCCACAACATCATTTAGCGCAGTCTGAAAGAATGCAAATTGGCTGAACACCACTGCAGAGAGATAAATAGAGACAGAGAGTGAATAGACATAACTGCATAAAAATGATGAATTATGCAACTGCATACCATGACTGTGCAAGTGTAAATTCAATAGTAAAAGACAGAACCTAATCACACCTGTTGTATTCTCTAGACACACCCCAGTGCTTAGCAGAGTAAATTTCCAAATGAGGGCCATAAAAAAGGAAACCCTGTGTTGCAACGTTCCCTATCCCGCAGCTGTTCGAAGCCATTATGCCATGCCTACGGAAATGTGCGCCTTAATTAGCTGTGCTTCCATAACATTTGCCTTGACCCAGAGAAATAAAGGCAGGCTCGCATCTGCTAATAAAGATTCTGTCGGAACCCCGAATTGGCCAGATGACCTCCGTTTATTGATCAAATAAAAGGGTCCCATGGTCAAGTAGAAGCTGCTGGGGTTATTATCTAGAGGCTCAGAGCCCTGAATGAAGAGCAATATGGATCTTCTACATGGTGTCTAATGATTTTTAAGATGTCAACATAAGCTCATCATAACTAATCGTGACAAAAAGTGACAAATCAAAGTTGACCAGAAGACGTTTTGATTAGAATATGGACACATGAGATTGCTCTGAGACTGTTATGCTAACCAGCATTATGAACTGAAATAGAAACCAAACAATAGAGTAAACATAGAACAAAAATGGCAGTTCACAGCTGGACACACATTTAACATGGAAGAGATGGGATTTAACCCTTTTTGCTCTTGAGTGCCTGATTCAGACATGGTGTTAACTGGTTGATTTCATCGAATATAATTATAATCATTTGTTCCAGTAGATGCCGTAACTACAAAATCTGATAAAAAAAAAAAAAAGCATATTTCTCCATTGTAAACAACAAAAATACTGCATGTTTAAAATGATATTAGATGTTACAAATGCCTGGTGTGTTTTAAAGGAGTAATTCACTTAATTACTAAATTAAGGTTTTTGATGAAAATGTTCCAGGATTTTCTCCATGTAATGGACTTCAATGGGAACCAAATGGTTCAAGGTCCAAAAGACAGTTTCATTACAGCTTCAAAGGACTTTAAACGACACCAGACAATGAATAAGGGTCTTATCTAGCGAAACAATCGGTAATTTAACAAATAAATAAAACAAGTTTATGTTTTATAAGCTCAAATGCTCGCCTTGCTCTGTTCTGTGAAGAGCGTTGGTGACTCTCTTGTTTAAACTCGTTCAACAAAATGAACAAATCTTTTTCCGAGTCATGACTCGAAGGGTCCTAGATAAGACCCTTATTCATCGTTTGCTGTCGTTTAAAGCCCTTTGAAGCTGCACTGAAACTCTCATTTGGATCTTGAACTGTTTGGTTCCCAATGAAGTCCATTATATGGAGAAAATCCTGGAATGTTTTCTTCAAAAACCTTACTTTGTTTTTGACTGAAGAAAGGAAGATGTGGACATCTTGGATGACATGGGGGTGAGTCAATTATCAGCAAAGGTTTTTTATTTTTTTATTTTTATTTTTTTTAAGTGAACTTCTCCTTTAAGGACTCTTAGATAGGGAAATATATATATATATATATATATATATATATATATATATATATATATATATATATATAGTTTTATATTATTTTATCATTTTATTTAGTTTATTATTATTATTTTTTTAAGTGAACTACTCATTTAAGGGCTCTTAGATAGGGATATATATATATATATATATATATATATATATATATTATATAATTAATATTATCACTCATCACAATTATTATATATAATTAATTATATATAATTGTTATTATTATTATTTTATATTACTTTATTATTTTATTTAGTGAATGGTTTGGAACCGTGTGCATTTATTTGTGAGGATTTCCCAGAGATTTCAGAATTGATTTCAGAGATTTCAGGATTTCAGAATTACATTTTTCTGGAAACATCACTAAAATAAATGAGAGTGCTAACAGGTAGTTACAGTATAATCAACTGTTATACTCCTTGATTGTAACGCTACATAAGTTCATGGGTATATGTGTGTGTGCAATAGTATGCTTATATACGTGCTTACTTACCATAGTCTTTCGGCACAATAACCGAGTAGAGGCAAGTCCTCCCGCTGCTGTAGTTTCCAGGATAACCAGGGGAGAGCACCACACCCTCCAAACCCGAATACTGACCACCGCACGGAGCTTAGTGAGAAAGACAGTCACAGAAAGAAGGCATTAGAGACTAATTTTCTGTCCTCCCCAACTCCTCTCTGCCGTTCCCTCATTCAGCTGATCTTAAATTACTTTTCTGGTCTGATTCGTGAGCTGCCCGGCTAGACGTCCCTAGTGTTTGCCGAAGTGAAATTGCAATGTGCTCAAAGCATTCCTCAAGGTTACATTGCAAAGATGAGCCTTTGCTTATTTCAAAGGGAACAGCAACACATGTGACACACTCCAGGTCTTTGACAATGGAAGAACACATGGTTACAGAACATATTTGCAAAAAAGTACTTGCTGAACTTCCATTATATGCTTTTACCTATGCAAACAGGTTTTGGTTTGTTCCAGCCAGGCTTGCCGTCTCCCCCCATGATGCAAGTGAGTGTGGCGTCTCCCTCCAGCGTATAACCATTGTCACAGTAATAGGTGACAGTTGCCCCCAATTTCAACTCGGTACCAACACGAGTACCATTACGCACCAGCCCTGGCTCAAAGCACGACTCTCTGGGATTTTCTGTTGAGGAAAAGAAACACAAAGTATGGTGAGAGAGGGAGTGATAGATGATGATATATGGCTATTTGTGTAAGACTGATAATCAAGCGTGCACAGGGACCTTTACAGATACAAACATTCACCAAGTACCTAATGCAAGTAAACATTTTCTTTGGCGAGTAAATCAATTTGAGTCATTCGCCAAGCGGCTTTGATTTGATTAGGAAGTACAATGTAAGACATGTTTTAAAACTAAGAAATGCAAAACATCTATTGACATATTAATGTCTTCTCATAAATAATGCCGCAACCATCACTATCACATGCATTTTTTCACAGAAACAAACATATGAATAATAATTAATTAATATAATATCATGTTACTTATTTGTCGTAATAATCAGCACAGTCTCATCCCAAGACGTCATACAACTGACGTCTTGGGACGTCTTTTGACCATACGTCAACATCCGCCTTTTTAGGGTACCCTTAAACGTCGGTTAGATGACGTTAACTGACGTTAAAGGTAAAGCGTCAGTTGTATGATGGCCTGGGATCATCATGTAACCAAAGTTTAAGGGTACCGTAAAAAGGCGGATGTTGACGTATGGTCAAAAGACGTCCCAAGAAGTCGGTTATATGACATCTTGGGATGAGACTGTGTTATAATAATCGCTGTCTCACATTTCAACGGCCGAGAACTTCTGTTGGCCACATATTGTGGCTGTATCCTTTTAGAAAAGTAACTAATACATTCCAAAATAAGAAATAAATGACAATAATTTACGACTCTTGAATAATAACGTTTCAAAATGGCTATTTTTATAAAGTGATACATCCTCGATGACGATGCGCCTGACAAATTCAACCTCTGCAGTGCACAGCCTTTGAAATATAACACAGCAAATAAATCATCATTGTAATATGTATCATAATCAATGTCTTTACTGTCACTTTTGATGAATTTAAAAGTGTGCTTGCTGAAAAAAAAATTATTAATTTCTTTTAAAAAGAAAATCTTACTGGTCCCAAACTTTTGAATGGTAGTGCACATATATATGTGTAGATTAGAGCCCGACCGATAAAGGATTTTGAAGGCCGATACCGATACAAACATTTTTGGGTTTTAAAATCCGATATTCCGATATATCGGCCGTTATTATATCGTTGTTTTTTTTTGTTTTGTTTTTTTCAGAAACTCGCAACAAAACATTAACAGATTTCCCTAACATTAGTTATTTGTAGTTATTTATGAGTTTTAACTAAAATAATATGATAATGCATTTTAAAAAGAAACTTGTTTCATTTATTGTCACAGAGTTGCATTAGCTAGCTTTATGGTTAGCTAGTCTATAGACCATTTCCCAAGATGTAAACAACACTGGTCCAGAAACACTTCCTGTTTCAGTTTGTAACTCTTTTCTTTATTTCACATGTAAAGAAAACATCTTAAAGATTTTTGTTTAACTATTTGATTCAGTTTTAAATGTTCTGTTGGTTGTATTTTATCCCAGCTTTTATGTAGTGTTAAAAAACTGAAACAGGAAGTGCTTCTGGACAAGTGTTGTTTACATCTTGTGAAATGGTCTATAATGAGCCATAATTTAGCAATGGATAATGTCATGCTGCAAATTGTACATTGTACATTTTCATATACCACGCCAAGGAGAGATTAATCGCTATTGTCATGTCACGCCATTGAAGAAATACTTCAGTCACATTGTCAAAAAATAAAAGGTCAGTCAGTCAACTACACTGTAACAACGTAACACAAATATTACTAGCTAATTCCGCTTCACTCTCGGCTTATTTAACAGCAGCAAAACTGGACATGACAGTTACAAATTTTGTCATGCTTATTTGAGTTGTTATTCCAGCGCAGTCTCACCCCAAAAAGTCATATAACTGACGTTTTGGGACATCTTTTGACCATACGTCAATATTCGCCATTTTAGGGCCCCCTTAAACGTCGGTAGATGAGGTTATGGGATCCTAACTCTACCCCATACCTAAACCTAACCCTAAACCTAACCCGTCACCTAACTGACGTTAAAGGTAAAGCGTCAGTTGTATGACGGCCCGGGATCGTCATCTAGCGACGTTTAAGGGGGCCCTAAAAAGACGAATATTGACGTATGGTCAAAAGATTTCCCAAAACGTCAGTTATATGACTTTTTGGGATGAGAATGTGTTGGTTATTCAAGCAATGTATGTATCGTGACCAACTCAACGAGTGTTGCCAACAGGGACTGTGTAGAGTGCCCTCTGGTGGACAAACTATACAAATCCAACACTCATGACATGGTTCAAGCGTGTTTCGTGCATTTTTATTTTATTTTTGAAATATTCATTTATCGGCCATTATAACTGGCGATACAGATAGTTTGGAAAATGCCTAATATTGGCCGATGATATCGGCCTGCCGATATATCGGTCTGGCTCTAGTGTAGATATAAATATGGATGCTGCTGGTGCAGGTTCTTTCCAGGTTTTTCCCCCAAAAAACTCACAATTGAGACTCCCGTGAGCTAAAAACAGAAGAATAAATGCACTGGAGCGTCTTTGTGTGAATAAGTGCACTTCAAATATGCTTAAAATGAGCACACCCTGATCTCCAATTCACAATCCAGAAATATGCTAGAGCAACCTACATGCCCCGTGGAGCATGAACGGTGACCCACGACAGATTAAAAGTGACACTGGGCTAGATCAGCTCTGCTGACTACACAAAACAGTCCATCACCCAGCAGGACATGTGTATGGCGCACACCGCATCCTTTGGCCAAAATTAGAAATCAATCATTCTTACTACACATCTGCATCGCACAGCAAAAAATGGGTTGCATGCAGTTCTAGTTGAGATATTACTTCCTAACATAGTTACACTGCATTGTTTGTGCTGATGCCCATGCCCTTCATGGCCCAATAGCACGTCGAAAACAAGACGCAATCTGTTTACTGGGGTCGGCGCTAAAGACAGTCCACAACTCAATCTTCCTACACCAGGCTCATAACAAGACCAGAGCAAAACGGCCAGTAATTAAGTGTGGACCACAGCCAACCTTAAGTTCTAGTTCAGGTGTCCACTGATGAGGCTGCTTATGAGTGTGTGTATGTGTATCGGAGACAATATGTTTGTGAATTTAGACATGACAAATGTTTGAGCTGGCTGAGCTGTTCGGACGGGCAATGGAGTATGTGTGTGTCGTGTTTATTTTACTGTCGGTCAAGTGTGCAGAGCCTTGGCCCACATATTGCACCTCAGAGGCCAATCAGACGCGGTTGGAAGCCTGTGAGAAGCTGATTGGTCTGTAAAGAGGTTGACAGCACCTGAAGCTTGTTCCAATAGCAGCAGCATGCACAGATGAACCAACGTGACCCTGTGCCAGCTCGGCTAACACTTCTGTCAGGGTTAAGCTGAAATAAACACACTTTTCATGTATTTATGATTTGCTTCTACATTATTAGTTTATACTAATTCATTGTGAGGAGACTGGGGTCTGGAACTGGAGCTTTTGAAGTGCCACACACTGTGTCCATCTGCTGCACCAGATTGAGAGAATACTGTTCCTCATTCACCAAGCCCTACAGAGGGTGATCTAAAGAGCGCGGTCTCTCTCGCTTTGACCGTCGCATGCCAGCAACGGCCATCAGTAGTGTTCTAGTCCAGTTAAGGCGAGACACGGCAGGCACAAACATTGATTTTTAATGCAGTGATCAGTTTTGAGGTTTGGGGCTAGTTTTCTCCTTCCATATGTGTTCTTTCAAGCTGCTATAAAGAAAACATTAAAAATAAACATTGAAATGTTTATTTTATTACATTTAGTTTACTTGCGGCAGTAAATTTCTCCCGAATTTACCAAGAAATTCATGCCGCGCTCCTTCTGTTTACTTAAGTCTGTCATGACCGGCGGTATAGTTGGAAAGCTTTGAATCTCCTGCACAAAACTATTGCTGTGTCCGAAATCTCCACTCAAAGCACTACTCCCTACCCCCTATGTTGGGGGTAGAGAGTAGAGCACTATATAGTGAGCTCACCAGAATAATAGAGACACCACTTTCGGGACACTGCTCGATCGTCTCTCGGCGATAGATTTTTTAAAAATAAATACATTAAATTATATTGAGCTTATTTCTCCAAAAATTAAAAACTAAAAGTGATTTCTGGCCTTTTTTGTTATAATGCGTTACTCCACACATGATTATAACTTATTTTTACGATCCGCGCAATGCATAATGTTATGTAGGGCTTAGGTTAGTGACCATCGGTTGTAAGCTACTTTTCAAAATGCATTCTGGGATACATTGAGTGGACTATATAGGGTATAATAATCAACAAAACAAAACAAAATGGCGAGCTCACTATATAGTCCACTATATAGTGAGTAGTGGGAGATTTCGGACACAGCAATTGTAACCCAAATATTGGCATTTCCTTTCTATCAGTAACTAATCGTGAATGTCCAAAGGGACAAAATCTCATTGGCTACTGCTGGTTTCTGCCAACGTGATTCACTCAGACGTATCACGTGGTGTACTCTGCCAATGTTAATTCATTGATTTACTGCAGTTGTAGACATTATATGTCTGCCATGTTATTAAATAAGTTTTCGTGTGCTTGAAATATTAGATATTATTATTACTAAGGGCCTGAGCATTTATTCTGTTTTTGAGCAATTGTTTTTTAATAGAAATGTATTAAATTCCCCAAATCTCAAAATTAGTTTTTGTCATTCTCCATTAGAAATATCTCGGCCTATGAAGCACCTATGTACACTAAACTTTCCAGTTATAACTACTTGTTACAACTGAGGTCTGCAGAAGAGCATATCTAAACAACGCAAAACACATCAAACCTTGAATCACACACCAGGTGCCACTCCTTTCAGCTAACATCAAACTGAGGTGAAAATGAACACGGGATCACCAAAATTGCACAATAGAAGATTGGAAAAAAAGGTTCCTGGTTTGACAAGTCTCAATTTCTGCTGCAACATAAATAGGGTAGGAATTTGGCATAAACAACATGAAATCATGGATCCATCCTGCCTTTTATCATTGGTTCAGGCTGCTGCTGGTGTAATGGTGTGGCACATATTTTCTTGGCACTCTTCAAGCCCCTTAGGACCAAGTGAGAATCGTCTAAACGTAACAGCCTTAGCATTGTTGCTGACCATGTCCATCCCTTTACGACCACAGCGTACACATCTTCTGATAGCAACAGTATTTTCACCAGGATAACGCACATATAATGCCACAAAGCTCAAATCTCTTCAAAGTAGTTTCTTGAACATAACAATGAGTTCACTAAACTTAAATGGTCTCCACAGTTGTAAGATCTCAATTCAAAAGACCACCTGTGGGATGTGGTGGAAAGGGAGATTTGCATAATGACAAATCTGCAGCAACTTAGTGATTCTAGCATGTCAATAAAGACCAAAATCTTTGAGAAATGTTTCTAGCAGAATGTTGTTGAATCTGTGCCACGAAGAATTAAGATAGTTCTGAAGGCAAAAGGGGATCCAACCCAATACTAGCGAGGTGTATATAGCAAGTAATAAAATATATTAAAATGCAGTTTCTTCCTGTCTGTGATGGATTTTCAGCAGTCTTCGTTGTCACATGATCCTCACATGATCCTTTAGAAATCATACTTGCTGCTCTAATAATAATAATTATTGACAATGTTGAAATTATTTGTTCTGCTTAATAATTTAGAGTTAAGGTTAGTTCAGGGTTAGATTTGTTAGTAAGTTCAAAAGAGCAACATTTACTTAAAATGTTCTGTTTTATTATATGTCAGTTTTGATCAATTTAACGTACCCTGGCTAAACAATTTTTTATATGTTCTGCAAACTTTTTTACAGTACTTTTTACTTGCACATTAGTTATTCAAAGCATGGTCAAATATGAAGTTATATACAGTATGGAACAGTCTCTGTGTCTCAGGAAAACTGCATCTGTCAAAAAAAACTTTTAAAGACACCATGATTTTGTTATTAATATATTTTACAGAAATGTCTGCACATTATATACAACTGTCGACTTAAGGAGGTCTAGAGAAATAAAAAGGCATTTTATGTTGAGAGTGAGGAGTCAAGTGCCGATTTGGGTCTGAGCCGGTCGGCCATGATGGTACATTCCAGAAATAGCGAGGGACAGCACATCTTATTTGTTTACGTTTTACATTTTAGCGATACGCGCAGTTTCTTTGGAAGATATGGAGAAGAAGGAAGAGAAATAAAAGGGGTGAAAAAAAAAGCGATTGCGAGATGGTATCCTTACAAGATGGGGAATCCTTCCCACAATGCAACGCGGAGTGATACGCGTGACGTCACATTCTCATTCTCAATATATTCCTGATGGTCTGCTGAGGGTAAACGTGATTTCACTAAGTTCCACATGTTCCTGGATCAACATTTTTGTTGATCCTGGATCAACTTTCCAATCAACCAATCAGATTTGAGGATTTGGGGTTTTGGGTCAACTAGTTTTGGGTTAGAACCAGTATTTAAACATCACCTTTCATTACCCTCTGATTTTAGGGAAAAGTTATGGATATGGTTAGGTTTAGGGGTAGGGATTGGGTAAGGACTACATTTTGGGACAGGAATATTGATCCAGGATCAACAAAATATGTTGCAAAATCACAGTGACCGTCCACTGAGGCAAAAATTGTTAGTATAAGTGTGGCAGTATGGATGGCATCTCAGTATTATGTATTCTCCAAAGCCAATTTTTACTCCGTTTTTTACTCTTGTCAAGTACTAAGTTTGGGCCTTGTTGTGTCTAATCAGACAAGTCTGTAATTTCATGAATAAACAAATAAGACAAAGTGTCAGAAGACAAAGTGAGGTCAGCAGGGCGAATATAGGGACAGTAAATTTGCACAGAGCCTTTAATGTGACAGCAAAAGATTGATCAGATGCCAGTTTTAGTGAGCTCATTCTGGCTTTTCATTTTTATGATCTTTTCTTGACTGCGAGAAGTGCCATGGGTCGATAATTAAACGCTGCACAATGGTGTATGAGAGGGTGATCAAGGCAACAGTCAAGTGCTGTTGCAGTACGGAACATACAAAAGAACAAAAAAAAAAGGCAAATGGAAAATTAGGGTCATTCTGATACCAATATTTGACCAAATTATCATGCAATACAGTCATAGAAGGACTGTATTGCATGCCTACAAAATGGAAATGGATATAAATGATACCTCCCAACACAAGGGAGCAACATACCAGTGTACTGCAGGACAAATCCATTGCTGCTAAGTGAGGCGTCACTGCGGAAGGCCAGGAAGAGCGTGTTGGAGCTGCTCTCAATGCGCTCAGGGGCGTCAGTGCCATAAAAGCTGCCCAGCAGCAGGCTGAGAGAATCAGGCCCATCGTAGATGTGCAGGAAGTCATAGCTCGGCTCTAGACTAAAGCTGACGGGAAGAAAAAACATGTATGATATGACTACACACTACTATATTATACAAAAAAACTAAACTCAAAATTAGAAATGTTATCAAAAAAGTAATCAAATTAAAACTAATAACAATAATAATAATAAAATAGGGCAATACTTCATTTCGCTAGTCCACTTTAGACTAAAAATAAGTAACTTTTCAACTACATGTCAACAAACTGTCATTAGAGTATCAGTAGACCATCAGCTAAATATCAGCTAACACTTTATTTTGTTGGTCCCCCAACACACATTCAACTGACTTTAAGTAACTTGGCGACTATAAGTAAACTTATTCTCCTAACCCAAAGCCTAACACCTAACCCTCACAGCCTACTATAATATACTAATACTCTAATGAGAGTTAGTTGACATGTAGTTGAAAAGTTACTTATAGTTAGTAGAATGTCTATCGAAATAAAGTGTTACCAAAAAGGTCAGCAGTATACAAATAATAACATTGCATATCTACCGTTATGTATTGTAATGATAATGCAGCTAATATTACCTACATGACATAGGGGACTTTAGTCTTATAAACCAGTCTTACTGATTGAAATTGAGTGATATGATGTGGTCCGGCGTTACTGTTACGGTCCAGTCACATTCTCTGCCGTGAGGATAGGGCTCTGGGTATTCAGGGGACAGGATCAGTCCACTGGGACCCGTCAGATTCCCTCCACATGGAGCTGTGGCACAAAGGAAGGGAGAAAAAAATGCTTAAACGTCTTTCACCAAGAACAGTGGTCCTCAACCATGGGCCCAGGGCCAACTAGGGGCCTAAGCAAACTTTCACGGGGGCCTCAAGATGACTTCCGATTATTTAAAGAGCACCTATCATGGATTTTTGAAAATGACTGTTCATGTAGTGTGGAATATAGCTCTAAGGGAATGAAAACATCCTGAAAAGATTTATATCTGAAAGTGCACCGTATATAAAGTTATTGTCTTTCAAAAGTGAAAGTCGACTCTGAGTCTATGAAATGAATTGTTTTTGAAACGAGTCATTAGCTGTTACGTCGTGACGTAGATACAAAACATTAGCTCATCGGCCGCTCCCAACAACTGCGCGCGCAGACAGGAGTGTAAACTTGAAGTCTAGTCTAGAACACATTCAAATATTTCAGCTGAATATCGTCATTTCGAGAAGACGCCGTGTTCTACATTGCAAAGACAGTTCAGCCACTTGTTTTCATTGCCCAGGTACGAGCATGTGAAAAATCAGTGGTTAGAGTTCATATTTGCAAAGATACCACAACAGTGTAGCCCGAACCTTGTGTTCTTATCATTTTAATGACGAATCATTCCAAAACATAAATTAATTCAAATGTGGATTCGCAAACCGGTTGTTCCCGAAGGAGGGCTCAGTATCCAGTGTATATGGATCAGGTTCGTCCTCCTCCGAATCACAATCTGTAAGTATTATTAATAATGTTTGATGTTATGTTTTTTGTAGCATGCATAATATAGTTATATTGTGTTGTGTGTGTTGTGTACACTCCGCGCAGCTTCTAAGTGGGGTAAAGTTAGTTTTGTTTTTGATATTCACGAGACATTCATTGAAAAATGGCAATTACCTCCTAAACGACTTAGCCAAATATGACTTCACTCTATATAATAAGCACTGTCCCTCAAAAGCCGCTGCAATGTGAGTTTCGCTGGGAAAGCTCGCTCTTGACGGAGACACGAGTAAGGGATCGTGTGGAAAGTGCACTTTTTCTGACACGTTTGTTCAAACACTATATACAATTTTCAACACTTGACGAGCTATAATCCTGGTTATGGGCGTTCAGTTGCTGACAATCTCTGCCTACGGTAATAACAACTGACTGGGTCATTTGACCAATTTCCGCAGATTCGCGTCACTCAAAGGAGGTGTTTGGGAAAATTAATCGTCGAACGAATCATTTGGGAGTCGTTGAGCAAATCGGGTAAAAATAAATGCATATTATAAGACAAATAAAGTGTTTATTTTTATTTTTATCCTTGCATGCACGTTAAACTGTTTCTGGGAACTTCCAAAACAAAAATAGGAACATTTCAGATAGGGGCTCTTTAAAATATGACTAAACAAGCAACAACGTGTTAGTCAAAAATGAAAAGATTTGTCATCAGTTACTCACCCAACAAGACTTTTTTTTTTTCTTCGAAACACAAATTACATTTTCACACTTTTTGTGTGAAAAACAAAACAGAAATAACTACTTTATTCGACTATGCCTACAAGGAAGAAAATTAATAGTCGAATAAAGTTGTTATTTTGTTGTTGTTGTTGTTTTTTTTCACACCAAAAGTATACTCGTCACTTGATAAAATTATAGTTGAGCCAGTAGTCACATGGAATATTTTAATTAATGATGTAATTTTCATTTTTTTGGGTGAACTATAATGTTTTATGAACTTTCTGAATCAAAAAAAAAAAAAAAAAAAAAAGTGGTGTGGACTGTCAATAGAGGGACATAAAGCTCTCAGATTTCATTTAAAAATCTATTTGTGTATTGACAATGAATGAAAGTCTTATGGGTTTGGAACGACATGGGGTGAGTAATTAATGGCATTTCTTTTAGATTTTTGGGTGAACTGATCCTTTAAAATAAATAAATAAATAAACATGTATTATTACATTAACATTTTTCATTGATGACTCCGGATACCCACAGTCTTGAAAAACCGTGATAAATGGGGAAAACCTGGAACGCTCATGGACATTTATTTAATTCATTTTTTTTCTAAAGAATATCATCCATAAACAATGAAGTAATGTGCTTAACTCACTACTGTCTGTTGGTCCAATGTCAGGTATTTTACCTGGAACAAGCAAACATCTCCAGGGTTTTGCCTGTAGTTCAGGGAAACATTAAAACTCATATTGAGTTCAATTGTTGGGTCCCCCAATACAGTAAAGCTGCACATTTTATCCGGGCCAGCCTAAGGCACACCTGTGCAGTAACCATGCTGTCTTATCAGCATCTTGATATGCCACACCTGTGAGGTGGATGGATAATCTCAGCAAAGGAGCTCACCAACAGATTTGTGAACAATATTTGAGAGAAATAGGCCTTTTGTCAACATAGATAAAGTCTTAGATCTTTGAATTCAGCTCATGAAAAATAGGGGCAAAACACAAAAGTGTTGGGTTTATAATTTTGTTCAGTGTATAAAGTGTTTTCTCTAGCTTTAAAATCAAATGACAAATAGTATATTAGCATTAGAATTATTAGCCATTAGTCAAATCACACCTGTGACAGTATTCATTACAACTGCACTCTTGCTTGTGTGTTAATTGTAATGTCTTTATGTGGAACTAATGGGTTAGTGTATCCTCCTTATTTTTCAGGAAGTTATTTTCTTTAAAAGTGCAAGACTTTTGATATATTAGCCGTTATCATTAAATAACTAGAAGAATAAAGTGCAGCAGTAACTGTTTATGATTACGATAATAATTAAAATAGCATGATAACAAATACCAGTTTGCAACATGGCATAATGTGCATAACACACTGTTACAACTAAAATAACTGACAGGAATCGCGACTGACATCGAAAGCCTTGCTCTTTTAAGATAAAACCGCCCGCTCTTATGCTGGAAAATATGCTGGATTATGACTGCGCAAAGATGGAGGGATCACAGTGGAAATGTTGGTTGAGGATGGGAGTGTTTACATTTCTTAATCTGGCATGCTCATACCAGAACAGGATGGCGGATCAGGCTGCCAGAAAAAACGGTTGTTGATCTCGGTACAGGTGATCTTGGTCGCCCCCTGTAGGAGGTATCCAGGATCGCACAGGAACAGCACATTATCCCCTGGCTCTCTGCTGTCTCCAATGCGAGTGCCATTCGTTGGAATGCCAGGATCATTACAGGAAGTGGCAGTTGAAACTGCAATGAAAAACATACAAACATCCAGTCACAAAACTTAATTCAATCAATGGATCCCCTTGACCTAATATATAGAGTGATTCTCAACCTTTGTGAAAATAATTATGAATAATTCAAATTATTAAAGAAATTTCAATAACTGAACATTTATCAGGGTTTTATTTTTAGACCAATTAATTTACATTGACTTTTCTAGCTATTCTCGTCATAATTACAGTGTTTTTTAAATTGTTTCTTTTAAAATTCACAAATAGCTATTTCTACCCAATCAAATATTTCAAAAACTGAATGATTTTTAACATCTTATTCATTGCTCTAACATTTCCTGGTCTAAAAATCACTATTTCTAAATTCCCTCATACATCCAAGTTTTTCAAGGCTATGGGAAATCAGGCTCTTAAGTAAAATAAGTTGGCTTAAGTTGCTGGGGGAATGAATTAAATAAAGTAGAATGTCAGTTTACATTTTGAATGTTAAACTTCAGCCTATTTTAATGCTAATTTTAATATTCTATGGCCTCTTTGAAAGTTTGATTGGCTGAGAACCACTGTACCAGACTGAAATATAGAAAGTCTGGAGTTCATAACCATTCAATTCATCCACTGGTTTGTGGTGCTGACCCACCAGCCATTATGAATATCAAATAATATCAATATCAAACTAATTAATTTATCTAGGCACCTGCATCTTAGTGGTACTCTCTTAAAGATGCTTGAACCCAGAAGGGCTGTTTTGAAAGTAAAATGTGAGTCTTTGCAACTGAAATAATGTCTTTAATGCATACTGGCATATTATTTCTTTTTACTCTCTATGTACAATCTTTAATGCTGTTTTTTTTTTTTGGGTCTCTAAGGTATCATGCAAGAAATCAGGATTCTCTGTTTGGAGTGATGGCTGATGTAGGTGGACGGGAATGGTTTCCCTGGTTACAGGCTGACAGCAGACAGAAGCACATAAACCTTGGCTTAACGGGCTTCATTTATTGTCAGTGGAGAGGTTGTGTCTGCTGGGCCGTGCAGCAGGGTGGGTGCTGTCGGAGGCTTTAGGAGAAGCTCTAAGATGGTGCTTCTCAGCTGTCATCCTGGAGCTCAAGCACTGTCTCCCACTAAGCAGGGCTCCAGACTAACTTTTCCACAGGTTGAAGTGGTGCTACCAACTTTCTCTCCTTCTCTTTTTTTTTTTTTTTTTTTTTTTTTTTTTTGCTACATGCAATTAATCATGGTATGGTTTTAATTGACCAAAGCTAGCAAAGGCTTTCTAGGTTGCAGCATAAATACCTGCAATATATTAAATATCATTGCCAAATTTCAGGATTTTCATGGATTTTGGACAGTAATCTTAATCTGCAATTTTAAGCATTTCAAATTTGAATTATATACAATCTACCTACGTATTTACATTTGAATCATACTCTATCCATCCATCCATCCATCCATCCATCCATCCATCCATCCATCCATCCATCCATCCATCCATCCATCCATCCATCCATCCATCCATCCATCCATCCATCCATCCATCCATCCATCCATCCATCCATCTATCTATCTATCTATCTATCTATCTATCTATCTATCTATCTATCTATCTATCTATCTATCTATCTATCTATCTATCTATCATCTAAAGCATAATACCATTTGTTTGCAGAGATCTACTTAAAATGCTCATCTGTGCTCATCTGTGCAGCCGCCCACTTTACAGCAACCTTGATTCTGGAAGATATTTTACAGTTTATACTCTGGCTTAACATAAAAAAAGTACAAATAAAATAATAATAATAATAAAGACATCCAAGCCTTGAACCAAATCAAATAACTGCATAATGAATCACAACAATTTGATTCAATGCACAAGAGCAAAACAAACAAAACAATTATGCACTTCATATCTTTTGTGAGAAAAAAATAATTATTCCCCCCTTCAGAGAATATACAGGCATTGTGAATTCCCGTAATCAAGTATTCCACACTGATCGCTGGTGAATATGTGAAGCTGCGAAATGGAAAGAGAGTGAATGGAGTCACATACCCGAGAACTGCAGAGCGAAACCTTGCTTGCTGGTGAAGAAGTCGGTTGTAAACTGCAAACTGACAGAGTTAAAGGTGCTATGGAGGTCTGGAGGAAGCGTAGAGCCACTCAGCTCTCTAAGGAGAACACCTCCGTCCTGAGGCCCATCCCAGATGCGCAAAACATCATGCACCTCTTCTGTGTGGAAAACCAGGAAATGCAACCTGTAGAGTTACACATACAAACATAACATTAGTCATTCAAGGGAGTCTAAAGGGAGGGAGAAAAGGAGAGCAATCATATCTATATGGTGTCAAGCGGAAAGAGAAGTAATTGGAATCACAGTGTTAATTTGTACATTTTCACAAGTTTTCACTAGTTATATAATAATTTTGTTCTAAGAGAGATATGGGTAATTTCGAGTTGCCAGACAGGAAATTAGCGCTTGGATAGTACTTAATATTAAAAGGATACGAAAGGGAGAGAGATAGAGAGAAGATATAGGACTCAAAAATAAGTGAAAATTAATCGACTGACACCTGCAAAATTCCATTAATGGGCAATTCAAAAAAAAAAAGAATAATATTAAAGAATGAGAGAAAATATCTTTTTTTTTTTCTAATTATAATGTAGAACATGCAGACATGCATTCAATAACCTTTAAGAAACAGAAATTAAATACTTCCAAAGTGATCCATGAATGAGACATGCCACTTCCAATCTGAGGGAAATGTACTTGTTTTCTGCAACCTAAATGCCAGAACCAGATCCCTTAACTACTGCACAAGGTACTGAACACATAGCTAACAAAGTGTTCTGTACAGGTAATTATGACAGATTGTCTCTACAGAAATGGCTCTGTAAGTTGTTGCTGTAGGTACTGCAATAAGGGGACATTAGAAAAACACCTCTTGAGAACAGTCTACTACATTATGAAATACGCCAAGGACAAATTGACTAACACTGCCAATTCTTTCAGAATTAGAGAAATGTAAAAACCAAAAGTCCAAATGACAAAATAGTAAAAGGGCCAAAAAGTTCAATTTAATTTTTAATTCAAAAATTAAAATGGACAGACAAACCATTTCAGAATCCAGTACACCATTTCTAAAGGAATGAAAGCAATGGATTTTTTTTTTTTAAAATACAAAAACCTAAAGTTTTTGGACCTTACTGAATTCAATTCAAGATGGTTATTCTAAAACCCAACGTTTCAGAGTTCACTTTTCTCACACTGATCTTTACAAATGGAAATACACTACAGTGTATATCTGTCCCAAATTATTTCCTAGACATTTGTGTGCAGACAGCCCGTTCTCATCCCAAGACGTCATCTAACTGACGCTTTTGATCATATGTCAACATCCGACGCTTTAATGTCAGTCAGATGACGCTATCTAATCCTAACCCTACCCCAGACCTAAACCTACCCACGCCATCTAACTGACGCTAAAGGTAAAGCGTCAGTTAGATGACGCCCTAGGATCGTCATCTAACTGACGTTAAAGGGTACCCTAAAACGTTGGATGTTGACGTATGTACAAAAGTGTCAGTTAGATTACTTCTTGGGATGAGAATGTGTTGGTGCAGAGCACTGGGGAACCTAATTTTTCCAATAGCCCACTTTAAACACTCTTTTAACACTAGAAGTGCCAGAATTCCAAAACTACTAGAACGGCCACAAACGGTCATTTTGACCGTTAGATCCAAAACAGTGTTGATGAATAATTTTCGTAATTATTTTTGTCAACCACATTTTTTCAAAGACGAAAACGAGACGATAACTAAATAAAAACTAGGTTTGAATGACAAAAACTATGACGAAAATGTTAGATAGTGACGATTTGCGACGCGGTCAAGGCTATAATAATAGGACTCGCAGAACTAGTGAACAGCCCATGCAGCAAAACAAACAGCGCAGGACAGGGCAGAACATCTGGATCCGCCGTGTCTGATGATAGCAGCCGTCTCTTTTTGCTTGATGTGGACTCTGACTCTGAATCACTCTCTGATGAGGAGGAAATGTTAACTTGCACCCAGGAAACGTCGCTGTCACTTTCCACCTCCGATTGTTCCCCTGCATCCGAATTATAGATAACTGTAGTCCGGTTTTATTTGCTTATTTCTGATCAACAACTAATGTAGAAATTATTATATAGCAAACACCGCTACAGAGGTGACCGGACGGACCATTCTGTTGACAGTTGAGAGAGAACACGATCAACCGCGGGATATTTAACAAAAAATACCTCAAAATTCAGTGCGGTCAATATGACCGTCTATGGCCGAAATAGGTAAATATGTTCATTTTTTTTTTGTTTTGCCTTACGTTTACGTAACTTAATTTATATGAAAAGCATTTTAAATGAAAATACAGACAATTTTAGGAAAAGTCAGGTACCAGCAGGATTTTATTATTTTTTTCAACAAAGTTATTATAGATATAAAATTCAAAACGGTCAAAATGACCGTTGTGGCCGTTCTAGTGTTAACTTTGCAACAACATGCCAACTAACTCTCATTAGAATATAAGTAGACTGTCTGCTTAATATCTACTAACTCTTTGTTTTCTAAACTCCCTCAGACATTCAATAAGGCTATGTTTACACGGAAACGATTCTGAAGAGAAAATGTAAAAGTGGCGTTGCGTTATCACTTTTTATTCTGCGTTTAGACAAGCGTTTTGGGAGGGAAATCCGCGTGCATATGGTGACGCAAAAGTGTGTGAAATTCAGTGTAGTATGCACTCAAGGCGGCTTGGTGGCAATGTGAAACACTTCCACACAACAACACCAAGTCCACACGCCTGCATACAACTTTCACTGCCAAGCATACTTTTGCATTTTTACCCTTTACATGGGAACGCGGCTGGGGAGCGTTTTTAAGATTTCCACTCTGGAGGGTGGTTTCACTTTTTTGTTTTTAAGCCTCCAAAACAAAGTCGCTGTGTAAACGAAAGGCACATCCGATCAAATATTTTTATGTTTTCACCCGCGAGTGTTCTTGTGTAAACAGGGCCTAAGACTATTAGTAACTTTGCAACTACATGACAACTTATTCTACTATCCCCAAACCCTTATTCTACAACCCTAGTTGTAGTTAAAAAGTTGCCTATAGTTAGTAGAATGTCAAAAGTGGACTATTATAATAAAGTGTAACTGAAGGTCCTTGTCTTATGATAAATTCAAGGCAATGTCCATATTAATTATGAGTTGAGTAGAGCTGAAATTTGGTTTTACCACATTATTAAAACAAAAGACATACAAAAATATAATATGAATATATCTACCCTAAGTATGCTTTAAAGAAGACCATCAAGGTAAAAGTCAAAAAAAAAAAAAAACTTTCTGTAGAGCAATACAGAGATTTAAAACAAAACTTGAGATAAGTTCATACCAATCACAGTTAACTGGAACAATTTGTAAGAGTTAAATCAACAGTTAGCTATTTGAAAGGAAATTATGCAAATGATATCAGGAGCCTGCTTTTAAGAAACTCAAGTGAAAGCCCTTAACCAAGGAGGCGGTGGAGCACTTTGTCACACACACACAAAAGCTCATTAACACAGACCACGCTGCATTAACACAATATAAAAAGTAACTAAAAAAAAAACCAAAAAAAAAACCAGAGAGAGACATTGGGTCGAGTACAACAATTCCATTCATTACTGCAGCCCTATGCTGAGAGAGCAAGAAAAAGAGATCATGTGTAAAAACGGACCTTATCAGTAATGGTTCACAGGCCTTTTACACATGGATGACTTCAGGGGCGGCATAAAAAGTATTGATGTCTCAAAAGTCAAGTTAGATACTTATTTCTAGAAAACAAACATGCCCCCCATGACTTCAGTTATGTCCATCTGCATTAGAAACCAAAGAAACTGTCTGCTTACTGAAAACAAAAAGGGTTTTATTAATCCTCTCATTTACAAATGACTGTTGTGGGATGAAAATAACGATTTCAATAGTATTGTATGCCATAAATTTCCACTATAGTTGCCATGACAGAGCAAATTCACGCAAGTGAATTAGCAGAGCTTCCCCGGGTTTCCACCTCTCTATGTATGTGCGTTATGTATGTGAGTGGGAAGTGTTTCTAAATCCCACTTTCAATTTAATATTGTGTGGGTTTTAGAATTCAACAAATCCGCCTATTCAGTTTGAAAGACACACATAAACACACAATATAGCAACTGTGCGAACTCCAGGTATTTCACTCTGCACACAGTCTGGGTGTGAAATGAAAGAGATCAACAGTTATTTATAGCTGTCTATACAATAAAGAGAGGCCCTGCATCCAAGTGTAAAGCTCCGTTCACACTTACACCGACCTCATTCATTTCCAACGAGTCAATGATTTCCACTGACAAGAGCAGCAGGATTCAGTGGAGAGACAATGTGGTAAAGCAAATTAGAATATAGATGGTGAATCCAGATTGTTTAGGACACTTTTCCCCAGTCATATCAATGGCAAAAAGTGTCCCAATCAAACTGAATTCAACACACATCCATTCATTTTATTCATTGTTAAACTAGTGACCAATACAGAAACGTTGTGACCTCCAGCGATAACATCACAGTCAATGTTGAGAGAGACAGGAGGAGACAGCAGAGAGACAGGCAGGCAGATAAAGAAAGCGGAACATTATTCAATCCAGAAGTTCTAAATGAGATTAATCAGCCTACAGCCAGAGTGCTATTACAAATCTGATAAAGAACCAAATTATTCCATCCCCCTCCACCCATTTGGCAACCCCAAGGTTTACCACACACACACACACACACACACACACACACATTGTTGCTTTCTGTGAGGAAAAGAGCACTTCAGAAACCCCCTCAGACTCCAACATCCATCGCATCACTGCCGACAGGACCGATCTGTGTCATGCTAATGATAGAGCGATAATCTATGCGAGTGGCGGCTGGTTTCTCAAGGGGAAGATGCACCTATTCTGTTACTGCCAACTTCCTCTTTGCCTGCAAGATACTAAAGTAGGTGTTACGTGCAGTTGATGGAACCAGCTGTATTTTTGATGCTGGTATTCTAGTGTTTCTAACGAGCTTCACCAGGAATTCCTATGTTAATGAGCTAATCTGGCATCAAATCAACATTAAACAACATAAACCAGCATGAAGCGTCATATGATTTATATTTTCCAAAAAAACAAAAAACAAAAAAACAAAACAAACAAAAAAAAAAAAAACACACAGGACCAAACTAC